AGCAGCGGGAAGGGATGGCATAGCCCCCGAATTAATAAAATTTGGAGGACAGGAATTAATTAAATTTCTCCAACGATTCCTCCAAAAAGTATGGGATACAAAGGTAGTCCCAAGGGATTGGGAGTTAAGTGTAATTGTCCCTATTCATAAAAAGGGCAGCTCCACAGATTGCGATAACTATAGGCCAACCAGCTTACTTTCAGTGGCTTACAAATTATACTCCTCAATCTTAGAAAGAAAATTAAGGCTCTTAGTTGAGAACCAAATTGAGAACGAACAAGCAGGCTTTCGTCCGGGGAGGCAGACTCAAGATCACATTTTCGTGCTAAGAGGCATCGCAGAGAAAGCATGAGACAGAGACAAGAATATATATATGGCATTTCTGGACCTCAAAGCAGCATTTGACTCTGTTCCAAGACAAGAAATATGGGATGCTTTGGCGGCAAAAAATGTTCCAGGTGATCTCATCATGGCAATTAGAATGCTGATCTAATAAGGCAGCAAAAGGAATGGTAAGGATTAATAGTAGAGAGTCTAAGCCTTTTTCCTTGGAGAGAGGAGTCGGGCAGGGAGACAGCCTAAATCTCCTCTTGTTCATCATATTTATGGATGAAATCCATAAAATTTGTAAGCGTCGTACTGCTTGGACGGTCGTCGGAAAATGGAACCTGCGGAATATTGTGGTCCAAAGCCTACTATAAGGCGATGACATCGTTCTGATTGCAGACACGAAAGACAAGCTGCAGCAGGCCCTTGTAGAATGGCAGGAAGAACTCCTCCGCAAAGGTATGATTATCAATAGCTCCAAAAGCAAAGTCCTAGTCATATCAAGAGAGGAACAAGAAGACGTCCAGCTGATCTGTAATGGGCAGGTACTTGAAGTTGTGCAAGAATTCGCCTATTTGGGTACAATTATCAGCAACAAGGGGAAGATTGACCCAGAAGTAACGAATAGGAAATCCAAAGCCAATCAGGTATATTACCCTATCAGCAACACTATAGTAGGGCACAGGGAAGTAGGCAAGGAAACAAAAGGCACATATACAAGTCGGTATACCTCCCAACCCTCACGTATGGAAGCGAAAGCTGGATTATGCTGGACAAGCAGGTTAGCCGTGTGACAGCAGCCGAGATGAAGTTTCTGCGGAGAGCTGCTGGAAAGAACAGGAGAGACCGCCTCGGAAATGAACGCATAAGAGAGGACCTGGAGGTGGCGGAGCTAAGGACTTTTCTGGAAAACCGACAGTTGAAGTGGTTTGGCCACGTTTGACGGATGGAGGAGGAGAGAGATCCACGGAAGATTCTGGAAGCTCGACCCACTGGGAGGAGGGCGAGGGGCCTCCCCAGAATTTCCTATCAGGAATATATGCAGCGGATTGGAGAGAAGAGAGGCAAAACCCTCCAGGAAATGAGGCGGCTTAGTAGGGACCGAGAGGCATGGATGCATTGAATTGAGGCTCCTCGACGCTAGTAATGGCACGAAGAGGAAGATAAAGAAGAAGGGTGCTCAGCTTAGCCCAAAATCTACCCCTCCTACCATAAAAGTCAGCGGTAGATTTATGCACAGAAAAATTAACAAATTTTCAGTGAAATTTTTTTTTATTTAAAATAAAATTGTAATTAATGAACAGTACAAAAGCCGAAGTTAATCAAATGAAGAGTAGTGAATGGAAATGTTCTGTGATACAGAACCCTTTTTATTAAATTATTAACATCGGCACAAAACATTGGTGAATAACTTCATATTATCATAAACTACAAATTTTTAATCTACAACGATTCTCAAAAATGGGGTGTTTTTTCAATAAATTAATTAATCTAATGAGATACTAAAACCTGATATATACCCATTTGTTTTCTACTTGAACTGTAAGATAAGATAATTTGTTGTTTTGACAGGTTGTGGGTGAATGGCCCTATATTTTTGAAGGCTAAGTTTTTTCTCAACTTTGTGATCAAATTAACTTAAGATTTTAGCAGAAAACAAATAGGTGTTCATGATTTTTTAGTAACTAATTAAATAGACAAAGATTGCCGATCTCCAGATTGAAAATGCTCCAATTTCGAGAATTTTCATAAATAAAAATGTTTTAGATTACAATGAGATGAAGCTATTCAGGAAGTTTTATGTGGATGTTAATAATTTAATTATTAAAAAAGGAACTTACACTGAAGAGTATAAGTCCAGATATTAAAACTTCTATATTTCCTTCTTTGTTGATAAGAACATTCAGTCAGTGTTCCTCTCAATAGATAAAATTGTATGCCATAACATTACCATACTTAACTAAACAAATTAAGATCAAAACAAGTATGAAGTGTATTATATAATAATAAATAAATAATAAGGCTTAGCGAACCCGAAGGTTCGATGCTGACACCACCAATCGCTTGTTACACACCTCCCTCCACCATTCGCCGTCCAAACCCAGTCCCTTCAGATCGGCTTTAATGCAATCTTCCCACCTTCGCTTCGGTCTACCGCTCGGACGCTTACCATTCGGCACAGCAAATATTAAGCTTTTAGGAATTCTCTCGTTACTAAGCCCAACAACTTTACAAGCCCATTTGATTCGCCGCGATGAAATTACCTCAATTATATTATCCGGATACAGCTCACGCAATTCGGCGTTGTGTAACCGCCTGAACTCTCCGGTTAACTCATCCTTCTTCGGTCCGAATATTCAACGCAATACTTTATTTTCAAAAACCTTAAGACGCTGCTCATCCCTTAATGTAAGCGGCCAAGTTTCGCATCCATAAAGAACTGTAGGCAAGATAATTGTTTTATAGATTCTAATTTTTAAGTTTCGGGACAAGAGGCGCGAACTAAGTAGTTTTGTCACAGAAAAATAACAAGCATTTCCCGCCGTCAGTCTAACCTTAATCTCTTCTTCAATTTTGTTTTTTCTAGTTATCGTAGAACCTAGATACCTAAATTTATCTACCTGTTCAAACATATTACCATCTATATCGATATCACCAGTAGTATCGCCATTTTTGCAGCTAACCATATATTTTGTTTTATCCACGTTTATTTCGAGTCCTAGTTCTTTACCGGCTTTCATTAACGTTGTCGTATTTAGTTTTATAGTTTCAACGTCTTCGCTTAACAGTACCAGATCATCAGCATAGCCCAGCACGGATGTTGTCCCGCCCAGATCCAACCCTTTCTCGGTTCGCATTACCTCCCTAATGGTATGTTCTAATGCCAAATTGAACAGGACAGGCGAAAGAGAATCTCCCTGTTTTAAGCCCGAATGAACCTCAAATTTTTCGGACAAATTATTACCGATTCTAACTTTATTGAGTGTCTCCGTCAAGCACATCCTGACTAAATTTACTAGTTTTTTTGGAATCCCCTGCTCGATTAGAATATTATAGAGTTTCTGGCAGTCAATAGAATCGTAAGCCTTTTTAAAATCTATATACAGCTGGTGAACAATACCGTTATACTCCAATTTTTTCTCTAATATTTGCCGTAAAGAAAATATTTGATCAATAGTCGAACGATTCCGTCTAAATCCGCATTGGTAGTCTCCGATAATTTCCTCGGCGTATTCCGTGATTCGACTGGTTAAGATTAAAGTGAATATTTTATAACATACCGGAAGGAGTGAAATTCCTCGATAGTTATTACAATCCGTCCTCGGACCCTTTTTGTGAATCGGAATAAGAATAGATTCTTTCCATTCTTCAGGTAATTTCTCGTTCACCCAGATCTTTTTAACCAACCGATGTATTTTAGAAACTCCAGCTTCCCCGCATGCCTTAATTAGTTCAGTAGGAATATTATCGATTCCCGCTGCTTTATATGATTTTAATTTTCCGATAGCTACTTCAACTTCCTCTTTACTTGGTCCTTCTATTAACGGTTCAGCACTCTGGTACTCAGAAGGAGGACACAGATCATAATTTGTTATGATCATAATTACATGTCTCTTACGTTATTTTTGATTCTATTAGTTTCTATTTCAATTATTTTATTTTTAAGATACTCCCTTTTTTTATTTTTGAGCAATTTTGTCGTTTCGTTCTTTGAGATTCGGAAGTATTCCAGATTGTCTTCGCTAGGATTATTTAGAGCTTTTAATTTAGCGGCTTTTCTTTTTTCACACATGTTTAAGCTATCTTCATCAAACCACGGTTTGTTATTCTTATTTTCCTTTTTTCCTAGACACAAGTTACCGACCGCTTTAATATTATCTCTGATCTCTATCCATAACTTGTCAATATCCTCGTGGTCCTCGTCAGGAAGCTCTAAAGCTTCAAACCTATTCTTAACATCTAGTTCGAATTGGTTTCTAATTGATGGATTATTTAATTTTTCCAAATTAAAATTCTCAAAATCGAAACGGTTTTCTTTTCTCTATTTTATATCTTTATTATCTCCCCTGGCCAGCGAACCTCTTGCAGAGCCACGACATCCAAATTGTACCCATTTACCTCATTCGCGACCGATTTTAGCTCCCCTGCTGAGTTTAAACTCCTTACGTTCCACGTACCAATATTTAAATCCCTATATTTCAACTTGCGCCATGAATCCCCTAAAGCAGTCTCCACCCGGAGACCCGAACGGGGGACTAGTTTACCTCCGGATAATGAGCGTTTTACCTTAGGGAGATCCATGACTATTTGTGGTGTTTGGTGAACTAAAGATATGTGAGTAGGGCGTTCAATCCTACGTCACACCCTCCAGCAAGTCTGGTAGGCCCTTACCTCCAGCAAGTTTGGAGATCCCCTCCCTCCAGCAAGTCTGGAGGGCCCCTCTCATTGTTGGTCAGCGAGTCCATCGGACTTAGCCGGGAGGAACTTCCAAGGATTTTCCACCGACCATCCCCACATCCGTCACCCGTGGGACGCTCCCCATACGCGGTAATGAGCCCGCGCGAGGAGTGTATTATATATATATATATATATATATATATATATATATATATATATATATATATATATATTATAATATAAGTATACTTATTATTATTATTACGTAAAGTTTTGGTGAACAATAATGAATCTAAATCACAACAGTAAATTCACACTTGTAAAATCTCTAAACTTTTTTTATGTTTTTTCAAGTCCAGTGAAGAAACAGCCTGATTTAATTAAAAAATAAAATTTCACATGAAATTTGCTACTATCTAAATTCTATTGACCCTGCTCCTGTTAAAATAATTACATTTTTAAAAAATGTAACTTACCACATTTATCTACTTGGCCCTTAAATTCTATTTACACAAACATAATAAAAATATGTTATTATTAAAAAAACCCATCTTGATTAATAATAATCATACAAAAAATAATCATATATTAAAAATAATCATCGTACAAAACATACTTAGACAGTGGAAAAGGTAAGATAATTTGTTTGAGATAACTTCGAAAACACACATCTGAATTTTCAGCTTCCTTACGAATGTGTTTTCTTACAGCGAATCTACTTAACCTTTTCAATGAAAGCACACGATTATTGGACTTGAACATCTCTTCCATACGAACGTAACTTTCGTACTTCATTACATCATCGGGGTTTCCTGGCTCCGGTAGAGCATTTTTAATTCCTCTGTAATTAAAAATCAGCTGTTAAATTGTTATAATCAATGAAAATACACAAAATAACTCATTAATTAACTATTTGCTATGTTTCGAGAATGGTGATGTGGAAATTGAAATATATTTCATTAAATAAAATTAAATAGTCAGTAGAGTAGACAAAAATTAAAAGTTAGCAACAAAGAATATTCCAAGTAAACTTAGGACAGGGTACTTGTTTTGTAGACGATCCGCTTAGTGTATCATAAAGATAACTAGACCTATTTCAAATATAAAAAAAAAGAGTCAGAACACTTTTCAAAATTCTACAGAGGAAGAAGTATAAGGGGTAGCCCCACCCTCGTACAAATATTCGTCAATCCACAGGAAAATCTAGAAGAAGTACGAAAAAAATTGAGGGAAATATTTTTGGCTGAAGGAGAGGTCAGTTAAGAGGGTTCTTGGGAGAAGGATTACTAGACGAGGAGAGTCTGTCAGAAAAGTCGATCGAGTGGAGAAGTAAACGAATGCGATGCTCCGGTAGCTTGGAAGGCAGGAGATAGTCATTATATTTAATAATGATCTTCAGTTAATTAAAAGTTCAGGACTTTTTACCATTGCCAGTCTCTATTTTATTTTAAAACTTTATTTGTAGAGTTCTGTGTCCTCCAATCCAAACTCTCGATTCATTCCCACAGTACCCGCTCTAGGTCTTCAGATCTATATACTACGGCCCACCAAACCGAACCGCTGCTTTCGACAGATCGTTCATTATCCGATTCTCCTCCCTGTGGAACTCCGGACTATACCCGGGTACCGGGATGTGAACTCGTGACTATATTTTATCCTAGTGTCATATATCAGGTTGCCGGACAACGGTGGTACTGTCCACACACGTTGGCCCGTCCGGCCACCCCGCCCACTGCCGTCCATTGTATGCTGTCCACAGCTTTTCCCCAGACCACTAGACCGATTTTTTTAAATTTGGAATCAAAGTCAGAGATCATCCATAGATGATCCTCCTACCTCGACATAACGATCCACCCTTTCCTTCCAAGATGGCAGCTGAAAAACCGGTGTTGGTATAGACTGTAGCGCCTAAACAAATCTACCAATTTCAATTAAACTTGGATAAATTCTTCTCCTCAATTACCTTTAAATATATCTATACTTCTTTATTAAATATATCTATACTTCAACAAAAAGAAAAAAAAACTGTACCACTACAAACCATGAAGGGTCTTGGATTCAGTACTACTTAGGGAAAGCACAGTTTCTAGATCAACGTTGTGCAAGGAAGTGATTAGACCGAAATCATGCTCAACCGCCAGGTTTTTCCCCTTAACTAATTATTTAATTAAGAGTACCCACTTTAGAGGGAGTTATATTGTTATGAGAGTTGGAAGATGAAGAAAAGATGCACGGAGCATATTAAATAAAGATAGCACAATAGCCTTTGATCAAATGTGTCATGTGTGCTAACAGCAAGAAAGAAAAAAAAAAAAAAAGAGGCTGTCTCTTCAATTTTTCTTTAGAATGTTGAACCATGCGGGCATTAACAGCATGGTATAGTTCAGTTTAGTTAGCTGAGGATAGAAGAAGAAATAAAGAAATTATTTATTTGGATTAGGCAATTCGTTACTTGAAGACTGCAAGTGAAGACATTCACACGAACGGTTTGACTGTTTCCACCATTTACCAACATAAAAGAAATTTTAGGAATGAAAATGACTACGGTTGGAAAAACGGTCAAATATTTTTTATGCATGAGAGGGAAAGATTTGAAAACAAAAATGGTTTTTCAGCAGTGTAAGAGACCTATCTGCAATGAACACAGGGCGACAGTTTGCTTGGATTGTTGTGAGTGAGTGGTCACCTAAATGGCTCCCACTGTAGGTTTTATTTTATAGGTTTTATAGGGGTGTACTACACCCCAGAGTGTCAGAATGAGTTGACGTATTTAAGAGTGTCGTTCGAGGATTAAGCTAAAAAAAGAAATTTTCCTAAAAAGGGAACTTTTTCACTAAAGTTTAAACCCTGGACAGCACCCCTAATAGAACTACTATCAATCATTGAACTAACTGTTAATTACAAAATAAAAGGCTAAAACTATTACTACCAACAAAAGGTGAATGATAAAGAAACAGTTTAAAAATAAAATATTATTTCAATAATAGTACTTACGAAAATACTGGCAAAAAGTTTGTTGCACATTTTTCTACAAGCAACCTAACAACTCCATCTTCATGACCCATCCATCTATAATTCGGATTTGCCATTTGTTTTAATAACGTATCTATGACATCATCTGGATCGACGTATTCCGAATATTTCAGAAGACTGAGTGCTGCTAAAAAACCTTCCCGGGCAGATTCGTTAAATAAACATATTTGTCTTAAGGAATCACTAGGAAGAAATTTGTCTGGCGAAGCAATTTTGGACAGGATCATGGAGAGGAACATTTCACAATAGCAATCGATGTGCAGACGACTATGCATCTGAACGACTGCTTCAATGGAGCCGATCCTTCTGGACGATGGTTCCATAATTTTATCAATCGACACCTTCCACATCTGGCATTTCAACTTAGATGGAATGATATTCTCATTATTGTGATAAACAGGATCTACCATAAAGTCATATGATAAAAATAATTCTAACCACCGTAATTTGTGTTCTTTACCAAACCATCTATTGTTATGCAAGAGGAGAAAACCGAGTGGCGACACCACGTGACCATTTAATTTCTCAGGGCATTTCAAAACGTCCTCGCTTAGACCTGAATTGAATAGTAGTTCTAGACATTCAAAATAATGACTTTCAATAACTACGCAAGTAAGGGAGCGCCATGCCTTTGAATTGGGTCTATGTGTCGCATGCTTTTCGATAGCTTTCGAGGAAGTATTTTTAAGCAAGAGTTTGAACAATCTGTACCCACCATTCGCTGCCATATGAAGAGCCAGATGTCCAGAGATGTCGGCTACAGATGTATCAGCACCGAGCTGGATTAATGCCTCTGAAATATGATAATGTTTGAATTGACACGCTAGCATAAGTGGTGTCAAACCTTCTGGTGTCCGACGGTTTAAGTTTTTTTTTCTAGTGTAAAGAAATTTCATTACATTGAATACTGTAATATTTCCTAACATACTAACATAATGCAAAGGCGTACAACCATAGATATCCTTTACATGTAAATCAGCTCCAGCGTCAATGAGCATCTGAACAGCCATCCCATTTGAATTATCTATGGCATAATGAATGGGTGCCCTTCCGATATCGTCAACTACGTTCGTTTGAGCGCCATTAGCTAACAGCAGCATTATTATTTGTTCATTTTTGCGAGTACAGGCGACGTGAAGAGCAGTAAAGCCGAAACGAACAGATCTGTTATAATCATAATCGTAAGCAAACTTATCATTTATTTTACAACCAGCTTCTATCAACAATTTGGCAATCTTTATACTTCCATATTTGCATGCGACATAGAAAGGAGATACTCCATTTTCAGCTTTATAATCCAAGTCAGCTCCAGCCGATAAGAGATACTGGAAAATAAAAAACCGTCTATCATCGGCGGCAGCTTCATGAAGGGGAGTCCAACCTTTACTGTTATGAGTGTTTATCTCACTTCTATCTCTTTGGATTAATTCTTTAACCTTGTCCATATTCATGGTCTTTATAGCCTCCCTTAATGGAGTATCTGGTTCTACCTGAGGCGCGTTCCTCCGATTAAAATCATTTAAATAGTATCTGAAAAAAAAAAAAAAAAAGAATTACTACAGTTCTAAATTATATTAACAAGACATTTGGTCATTTTTAATAATAATGATAATTCCCCTCCCCCCAAAAAAAAACAGAAATCTGCAAGGCATTTAGGTTAACATTATGCAGAGATGATAATATGTATACATGTAAATGATAATGAGTAAATATGTTAAATAGTAAATATAAAGATATTATTATCTAATTGCAAAAATAAATTTGAAAAATACAAATTATGGATTTTATCAAAAAAATTGAAAACAGGTCGAATTAATAATAGAGCTATGAATAAATTGCTAGTACAATACATAACATAACAATACATAAGGATAGTTGAATAATGTAATATGAAATGTGAAGAGGTTTAAATAAACATAACCATATAGATGAAGGTTTTAGTACAAAGACTATTAGGTTATATTAATAATGGCAATTCATTTCATATGATCTTATTTTATTTTATTTTTTAAATAGGTATGTTAAGTCCTATTTCTCTCTTTTTCAACCTTTCAAAATCTCTGGAATACCTCGAACAAAATCAACTATTCAACTTCCTTAAAGAACATCAACTCTCTCCAATCTGGCTATTTAATAAAATCTGCCCTCCTAAAAATAACCTAAATATTTAAAGTAAATTGACCAATATGTCTGGGGACACAAATATTAAAAATGCATAATTTACAACTAAATTTATTTCTTATACATAAAAGAAAATTTACTACAAAATGATTTGGGTAAAAAACAAAAGAAGTATTTTTAAGCTTGATTAGGATTTTTTATTTTAGAAAACTAAACTTTTAGTAATTTATTTTTATCACTTTTATTTTATTTTCATAAACTGAGAGGAGGTAAACTTGATGCTCGACACATAAAGCTCTGATTTTCTCTATTATAAAATAAAGTGAGCTACGGGAGATTCTAATATCAATGTATTCTAATATTCTCATAAGTAATTTAGTTTCTTTATTACTATAAACAGCGTAATAATTATCTATATGACACCAACTGCAGCATTTCTGGTTAATATATGCTCTTTTAAGGAGCATCACAGGTCAAACGAATGAGTGCTTGCCGCCAGCCAGATCTGGACCCAGATGTATACATTAAAAGTATTAAATAGTACTGGTAAGTTTTTCTTTTCAAAAAACCACTTTTCAAAAGTCCATTTTGCTTAAATTTTATTCATTACCCTTCTTTAATTTCAATATAATGACCATGGCTGTTTGTAACAATGAAGTTTACCCCTTCAAGGTCATTATAACCATAAATATCCACTGTATATTTATAATAAATGTATTTATAATACTGTATAAATATGTAGAAAATATTTAACAGATTTTTATGCAGTTTATGTTATAATATTATATGGGTAAGTTATTAAACTCAGCACTGAGCTCATTGATGCCATAGGATCTGTATCTGACCTGGGCGAAACAATGAGTTGTTCCTACTCAGTTTTACCATATTCATTTATGTATTTCATGTTCAAACTCTAAAAATACTATTGTATACTATATACTATTTGTACTAAGTGGTTTTAGTTTGTTTTTATAGATTTAAAGAATGATATTTAGGATCTATTCCTTGGAAGGTTTAGATCTTCAGATCTGGGCTCTAGTCATTATCGTCCAAAAAAACATCTGATTATCATTTTATACCTACGATAGAATGAGAAAAACTTTTGTTGTGTGCCTGCTCACAGGAGCCACTAAAAATCAGACAACATATATTCCTACAGAAGGTTAAAGGGTTACAAGTGATTTCCAAAGCCCCTAGAAGGAAAAAAAAGGACCACATGACATGTTTTAAATGAGGACCTAAAAGAAGTTCGCAATTCCGATTGTTATTATTTACACTTATTAGTTTTTCAGATTACGAAGTTTTATCATTCTAATGCCAATATGAAACAAGTACATTATAATTTAATATTGTATTTAAAATTGAATATAGAAGGTTGGGTTGGTGTTGGTAATAAAGGAGTTTAGAGACCACTAATTTAGAATACAGAAGACTTTAATAGGTTTGTTTGAAATATGATATTCAAACAAAGAATTTATATAAGAGGATAATAAAAATTTGTTAATTGTCTCATTCCTGAAGTTGAGAATGACAGGTATGAACCCTGATACAATGAGTGCATTAGAAATTTTCTCCATTAAGCAGTTAAGATGGATATTTACTTGCAATTTTTAGTAAAATAAAATTACTGATTTTCAATACATGGAACTTTACATAACAGGCAAAGGAGCTTCATAAGGAACTTGAGGTTAACGACATAAACTGATTAAATCATTTTCAACTATCTGAGTATGATAAATATGTGCAAGACTTTCAAAGGTAGAAACTCGGATTTTTTATATTCACTACATACCTAACAATATAAAAAAGAAATTTCAACTTCCCGACCTTTTGCAAGGTAGATCCCTTTTTTGTGATAATTTGACTTGACTAATAGAAATAATTAATAGGGTGTATAAAAATAATGACCATTTTATCAAATTCGAGACTTCAAAGGACTGTAAATATTTTAATCCTATATAAGTTAAAATTTTTGTTAACAGTATTTATTCTCCCAAAAAAATTCTTCTCCATTACATCATGACGTTTTGGGATCTACTTTTATCTCTTATCTTCAGGCTAGAAATTATAAGATTATCATAATTTATATTTTTATACAATCAATATAATATATATTTATGTAATTCAAAAAAAAAAAAAAAAAAATGTTGCCAATCTTACCAGTATCTTCATCCTATATCCTATTTTTTATAAGATTTGTCATATTATTTATTTAATTCCTAAAATTAAATAAATGTATGATTTTATTTATTTTATTATTATTATTTTGTGTATTAAACTAGTTTCAATTTTGAATTTATTATCTTGAAATTAGTCAGATACTGAACCAAACCTTGAGCCAAGGGTCAAATTCCAAAGCTTTTATTTATTTTTATATATCTGTTATTTGAGTTCTAACAATGGGTAGTTTCTCTTCATGTTGTACATGTCATGTTACTAATGCCACATTTACTTGTTGTATTTTTCATGTAATATAGTTGTAAATTTCATTAAAATAAATTTAAAAAATATATATATATGTATTTGTTAATTTTATAAATTTGTTAATGAGATAGGCATAATGACTCCCTATTATAGCTGCATCAGTTTTAAAAGTTATTGCTATTTTATTATGTTTAATAATAAATATCGACTCTGTTACCTTTTTATGTGTACTATATGTTTCCTTATATAATATCTTTGGTTGTGCTAAGTTGAATGTACGTCTATTAGTAATGCTATTATGGGCTAGGGCTGTTTTACTATTTCTTGAATCATTAAAATGCTGGTTCATTCTTTTTCTTATGTTTTGTCTTGTTTCGCCTATGTATGTCGCATCACAATTCTTACAATCTACCTTGTAAAACAACATCTCTTTGTTTCAACTTATTTATTTTATCTTTCATTAGACTTAGATAGTTATTTATCTTGTTTTGATTATATAGACACATGTTTTTCTCGCAATTATAACCATTCAATATTTTTTTAATTTCATGTGTTAAAGAAGGGATGTAATTTAATCTGTAATATTTTTTTATTTGGTTACTTTTTATTTTTTATTTTATACAGTTGGTTAATTTTTATTTTGTTTTGAAATTTTTTATGGATTAAGGGTTGTAAGTTTTGGTTATTTTCTGTTTTATCAAAAGGTTTTTTTTGTATTATCTCTTTGATTATTAATTTGGAACCACATTTTTTTAATGATTGGTTTAGGGAACATATTTTCAATCAAGATCTTATAAATTTTTGTTTTTATTTCTTTTATATATTTTTCATCTGTAATTTTACAAGCTCTACCAATGAGATTTTTTGCTGTGTTTATTATTTGATATTTTGGATGTAGGCTATGGAAATTTAATAGTATATTACTTGTTATACAAGTACTATACTTTTTTTTTTGATACTTTTTTTAGTCCATTTAGTGTTGAAAGAATTATCATTATTTTTAATTATTATTAAGTCTAAAAATCTTAATTTGTCATTTACAGGTTTTTCTATTGTAAATATTATTCTTTTGTTATATTTCTTAAATGTATCCAGCGAATTTTTAAATTTGTCTTTTTCAGTAATGATGAATAAATCATCTATATATTTATTTAAGCAGAATTATTGTTTTTTTTTCTAATGCTATTTTACTTTCACTTACCTATAAATGTGATATGTAGTAAGTGTAAGTATTGCGATGTGTTATATCTGTTTGGTGATGCTTTCCTAATACAAAATAAAGATTTTAGACTAAAAATTTGTATGGGAAATGGTATTTATTCATTTGGAGATGGAAGTTTGACTTGACCTGTGTGACAGCAGTTATTTTTGGATCTAGACATTTGCTATTGAATACAATATATTAAATATTATATTTTATGTAATGTTATTTTGATAAGATTATAATTATTAAGAAATAGAAAAGGAAGCACAATATAATGAACAATGAAAATATTAGAAATGAAAAACTCAAATTATTGTTGGGTTTATATGAAGCTGGAAAAGTTGAATACATATTATGGTTACCAACTGGCAATAAGAATAGTTATAATTATATAATAATATAAAGTGGCAATAAGGCGCAATGTATAATATGGATTTTTAAAGAAATTGGAAAAACTTGTCCGAGCTGTGTTTCGTTCAGTCATATTGATAAAAAACAATACAACCTGAACTACAGAATACACATAAATTAAAGTTATACATTTGAGCAAGTAGTAGTACAATTAAATGAACAGTTGTATAATTTGTAAAATGGAGATTAGACGGATAAGACAAAAGTTGATGGAAGAAGGTCCACAATTGAACAGAAGAGAACTTGAAGCCGTATATAGAGACATCTCACACTACAAGAGTGATGTATGAGGAATGATTATAATACTAATGGATGAGAAAAAAGAAAATTAATTATAATAAAAGTTATTGGAACAGCAATTGTAATAGATTCAGGATGGACGAATTTCAAAAAATGATGTCCACATTCACTAGATGGCTTGATTCTTTATTGTCTTAGGGCCTAAGGCCCTTTCTTATAGACGAAAGTACAATAATGGATACATTTTTATCTTGAAAATTTGCATTACAAAATACAATATACACTACTTACAATTGAATTTACAACTGCATTTTAATATTAGTAAATAAAGTCGGGTAAATGCATAAGAAATCGGATAATAAACAAAAGAAAGAGAGAGACTAAAGTAAGATTGAGAAAAAATAAAACAAAATAAAATAAATAAATAAAAGTAAAATTTAATGTTCCGAGAGGAAAGAGAGTAATCACAAGAACTTTGAAACCTTTAAAGGTGCGCTCGATTATTTCAGTCAGGAATCACTTAGGATGAACCTTGCAAAAAAATGATGCCGATCTTATTTCTACCAGAGGATAAAATTTTGTTAAAATAATTTGCACATTACGTTATTCATTGAACAGATAGCAACATAATATAGAAATCAGTAACTGCAATATATCTGTGAAATCTGCCAAGTGCGAAATTCATATTTTCAGGAAAAGCCAATTGAAAATCTGTTCAGCCATTTTCATAGGAGCAAGATGAATTTTCAAGTTTCAACCCAGGATTCATAAAGGAATGCTCATCTCTATAATAGCCGCACAAGTGAGCTATTAGACACAAAGAAAGAGAGAATACTAACCTTTCTGGTGATACCTATAAAATTCACAAAATTAAACATAACACACAATTTGCAAGCATGGTATATGAGACAAAGGTTGATCGAAGAGGGTCCAGAATGAAACAGAAGAGAACTTGTTGAGGATCATGAAGCTTGGTTGACACTATTCACAGGTGCCACAGATATTAAGGGAAGAAATTCATTCTTTTTTTTTTCCTAGGCCCATTGCACTTGTTATAATTAATTAAAACGTTTTTGTTATAATGTTCTTCAAAATAATAAACAAAAACGTGTGTAAGAAAATCTTCCAAGTTATGATGGATATAATCTACAATAAATTGTATATTACTGACAGTTTCACTTGGAAACAGGCATGTTTAAATATTAAATAGATAGACATGACTGAAAAGTATTCAATAAAAATAATATTGTAGTCACTATTTTTCAAAATTTCTAGCAACTACTGTTTTTCATACTTCAATTATAAACAGTTTTGAGCCAAATCTTGCCTAATGATGACTAGTTTAAATATATTAAAGAAAAATAATAAACATGTAGTGACTTTACAATCTTTTAAAACAAACAATTAAGAAACCTCCTTGGAGTTTATTAATGCATAGTTTGTTAATACATATTTTAGTTCCCGAAGACAACTAAGGTTTTTATTTTTCAATAAAGTATTTTAACAGAATTTTGTATCATTTATTATTTGATAAGCCAGTAAATTCAGAGTTAATACTTGTGATATTGAAGCACAAACGGTTTTTAAAAACTGAAATGACAAGAACAACAAAATGCTGTTGACTTATTTTTGTAGACACAAAGAGACAGTTGCATGAATACTTACGGCTTAGTTTCTAGTAAATTTGAATAATGTCAAATTTTATTAAATTAATAATTCAGTTTAAAGCATGCAGATAAATTACATAAAAGAATCTCCATTTGTGTAAATATATTAATTTACAGAATTGTATGGAGAAAATATGATTGATATGCAAGAGCAAAACATTGATAACTTACTGATAGTCATGGTAGAAATCATAATTACTCATGGTGGAATATTCGTTCAAAACACACCTAGGAAAACGGACTACAACCCTTCACAACACAATAAACACTGACCTGGGAACCGTACTCAGGTAGGATTGGTACCAAGAGGTATTAGTGGAGTGGTGGAAGTTGACAAACCTTTTGTTTATTTTTCCAACAACTACTTGTTCATTTAATATAGGTTTTAGGATTAAATTATGATAAAATTAATCCTGTAATGGAAAAAAATACGCTGCATTAAGTAAAATATTCCTTGTCAATTTATGCTGAGTTTGAAAACGACCTAATGGATTCCAACGAACGTTAACATCCCTAGAAGACAACAAAAACATGAAAAATAAAAAAATAAATAAGGAAATAAAACTTAGGTTATAATAAGTTTCAGACACTTAGGTAACACCAAGCGGATCGACCCAAAAATCCGATGAATCCACCGATTTATCGGAGATTCAACCGCTTACTAAAGGAACGTGCAAAATTCAATCCATGGTTTCCATCAATGAATTTAGATAGGTTTGGTGGATTTTGAATGTCATGGATGAGCTCAGCGTTGAGTTTAGGTACGGCTTGCTGGATTATAGCGGAAAGTTAACACTCCTAGAAGATTCCAAAACTAAATAAAATGTATTTAAGAAGTTTTAATTTTTGAATTTCAAAATAGAAATAAATATTAATAAGAATATAACTTAATAAGAATATCGCCGGTATATTCCAAAAAGTAGTTAAGTGACATATCATAACCTCAAATAATTAAGAACATTAATTAATTTTGCCTTTGTGAAATTAAAAACCTGGTGCGCGCAACACACAACTTTCACTTACTCTTTGAATTTTGCTCAACTTTGAATAGAAATTATTTTCTGGCCATGTTGGGCTATTATACAATGTTTTTAATTGCATTTTTAACCGAGCTAATGCTAAAAGATTGCAGCGAACAAATCATAAACAATAATGAAATAACAAAAGTAGTATTTATTATATCACCAGTTGATTACAGATTTACTATCCGTTGATTATTTTCCATTGCAAAGTTTATTAAAACGGAATTAAGAGATTTGCATTGTCTGTCATAGACAGGTCAAAAGTTGTCACACTAATTGTAAGTGGATTCTGTTGGAATATCGCAAAGAGAAAATTTATCAAATTATTCACTAATTTAATTTTCTAAAAGGTTACATGATGATTTTTCGTAATAAACGGACGATAGATACTTAAATATATTATGAGATCTAGAGTTATTAAACTACAATAAATATATTTAAGGTTATAAATATATCTATGAAATATTTTTACATTTAACTTCTTCTTTCACAACATTCCCAAAACAGAGTATACTTTTTGAGTTATTCGGAATTTATTTAATTTTACTTTTTTTCCAGCTTCTTTTCGTTGAAGTATGTCATATAGATAAATTTAAAGGGTGTCGGGAAAATGACTTAAGCGAAGTTTCATTGAAATCGGTACATTCGTTTAGGCGCTACAGTAAATAGCAATTCAGGTTTTTCTGCATTTTTATTTTTTTCTCCTTTATTAACTTATCAAATTCTTTCAAAAGTTATATGTAGCATTTTTTCGTAACTCTGAATAATGCGAAATGGTTAACTTTTTGAAAAAGACCATATTAAGGGTACTTTAGAGGAAGACATATATGAACATTGGGCATTTAAGCTCTGTAAAGTGACATCAACGGGGATAAGACCTAAATGATATTAAAGACCACTTAATTATACATTGATACACCGAGTTTGATCAAAATCGTTAGAGTCGTTTTTGGGAAAATTGTAAAAATGTTTTTCAGCGTTTATATAAAGTGGCACTTCCGGTTAGCCGATTTTAACGAAAAAGTTGCTGTCACATCCGGCCCATATACGAACCTTAAATACTTAATATCAGTTTCTTACTACTTTTTGTTATGAGCTAGACTGTTAACAGACACACACACACACACAGAACATTTTGCGACACTTGGTTATTTGAACTCAGGGGACCTCATAACATGTATTTCCGTTGAAAACTGAGATTCCAAAATTTTCTCGATCGCAATACTTACCCTTACTATATATTACATATATACGTAAGTGAAAGTAAAAAATGAAAGAAAAGTAAAATAAACAATGAAAACGAACTAATAATTTATACACTTATAAACAGCTTAACCATTAACATTTATATACAATTTTATGTGGACTGAATGAATAGGAAGTGATTGATCTGGCGAGATTTAAAGGTGGGAAAGGTATTGGAACGAGGAGTGTAGGAAGAGATAGAATTCCAAATGGATGGTGATCGGATAAAGAAAGATTTGTCGAAAGCAGGAGTTCGGTGGGCCCTTGTATATTCGTCTGAAGAGTGAGAACGGGTTTTGGCGATGTGAACACAGGATTTGAATTGAAGGAGCTTGGAGGTGTATGGAGGACGGCGAAATTGGATGATTTGGAAGAGGAAGGATGCCAGGAAATACTTACGACCGTAGGAATGATAAAGCCAATGATGAATCATGGAATGGGGCAAGTATTGCTGCTGATAGAAATGGAAAACGCTCGTGGATCCGTTATCATCCAGTGGGAGTCAATGGAATTAATAAATAGATATTAATGGAAAAAAATCTTAGAAAAATTTGAAATTCAAGTAGTGAAGAAAGTATATAAGACTGAGATTGCATTTTTCACTTACTTTATAGGCATTCTAACAAAGCTTTGCCTCAACTAGTCAGCATAGAGCTCCAAGCTTTCAATCCAATCAATCATCTTCCTGCAGACCTTGGTCAGCCATTTCCTCTTGGACTTCCTCCATCCACCTATTTCTGAGCCATCTGCGTATTCTCTTCTCTGAGGGAACCCAATCCAGGACTCGGTTCAGCCAGCAATCTTCCGACATTCTTTTCACATGCCTGTACCATCTTAGGCGGCATGCCCCGATCCTTTCATTTACTGATGTGCCCACATCAATCCTCTGGTGAATTACTTCATTTCTTATCTTATCCAGCCTGGCAACACGGACATATCACTTCCAGAAATCTATCCCAAGCACCTGTACTTTTGAGTATAAACGGGATTTTTCAAATAAAAAAAAGGTTCATATTTAGCTAAAAATTGAAATAACAGCTCATTGGTGGAGATGTGGTAAGGACTGAGGGTGTAACCTCAGTCCACGGTAGTGTGGCATGTATGGCTGTCAAACATGGTACTTTCAAACCTTTCTCAGTTCTGCTTTATGAATATGCATTTAAATTATAGATAAAAGATTAAACTAACTAATTTAGGTATAAAGTTGTATTAATAATGGTTAGGGTTTCCTTACGAAACAAACACATACAATACAGAAACGTTTATTGTGGATGAACACTACAAACATAGAAGCCATATCGAGGGAGTATACATTGTTGTGATCACTGACGTCACATCTGACAGTGTTGCCAGTAACAGTGTTGTAGGTAGAACATACAATAACAAATAACATCAATTAATTAATCCTCACACATCCCTTCGATTGAAGCTTTACATAATTCAGACATTTATATAACTAAAGATTCAATCGCAAATATTAATTAATTATTTTTTATATTTAACAGTATATTTCTAAATTTAACAAATTTTTCTTTGCATAATGACTTTGTCAATATATCGGCAATATTATCATTTGTGTTAACATATTCAATATTTATAATATTTTCATTAACTAATTCTTTTATAATTTTCCTTTAGTCGATTCAGCCAGAGATTCCTTACATTCAGCCCTTGAAATTTGTCATCGACGTCTAAATCTTAACATCCTATTTACAAAATTATATTTACACTTACTTATATACAATTTATTTACAATTATTCAAAATGAGTAACCTAACGATGGTTTCGCCAGGACCCCTTAGCTCGTCAACGGAAGGGACGCTAAATTAAAAACTCCTTTTCTCTCTCTGTAATAGGAAAAAGACTACCGTGTCTTAAAATGAGATATTAAACGGCCTGTCCTAATATGGTTCAGAGCCATATAACCCTTATATATATCATCTTTTTAAGTAGGAATGGTGATTGGCTCTGTTTTTGTATCCTATAATAAACACATTTATTAATTCTAGGTAAAGGTATTTTATGAGTCAATAGTTTTTTGCTCCACCCTTCTATTTTGGCTGGTTCACCTTCTACTTTCGGAGAAGTCCGTTCTGATATGGAGGGTTCGACTGAAGCTGTGGGGCCTATATGTTCTTCTTTATTGGCTAATAGCTCATGGATCTATTTACCGCACTGTAAAAATACTCCCTTGGTCTTTATGGAACCTAATACAAAACATTTTAACGTTTCTTCTTGGTCTTTTCTAATTCCAGTTTCTTTTCCACCGATTTCTTTAATGTTTCATCTAAGATTTTCAGATTCATCATTTAATGTAGAGGCTACGTTTTCTTGCTCCTCGAAGATAGTTCCTTCTTCTTCAATTTTTCTATACTCACCTAAGGAGGGTACGGCTAATACAGGTTCATCAACTTCACTCACAATAGGTTCCTGTTTAGATTCTAGACTTTCATTGCCTTGACCTTGAACATTTTCAATGTCCCTTGTTTGAATTCACAATAGAACAACCAATTGAAAACAATATCAGATTCCTAGATATAGAAAGAACAATAGGTAACAATGAGAAAAAAATAACAACAATAAAAATGACAAAAATATACAATAACCAGCAATGCTCTACAAAACTATAATTCAAACCATCCCATAACACAAATCAATTAAAAATTTTATAAATGGAGCAAAGAGATTAACTGACCAGGAACATATGAAAAATATCAAAATACAAATTTACAAAACGAGAACTTTTATCCTAAAAAATTTATAAATAAAATATGGTACAGCACAAATAAACATGAACAAGTCAAAATTAACCAATCAAACAATATAGAAATTCCACACACCAAATCAAGTAATAATACTAATAATCAAAATACCAAAGAAATGATAGAAATAAAAAAACTAAACAAAACACTAACAACAAATTTTTATAGACAGAATAATAAAGAAAGAAACGGAATAAAAGACAAAATAGAGACCACAAA